TGTTGAAGAGATACTAATACATTCCAGTTGATTTCAGGAATTCACAGAATGTTCCCAAATTTTACAACAGAAAATTGTGAACATTGGCCTCCTAGAATCTCTGAGATTAAATCCAAATAATAACAGGCCAGTAATTAGATCAGTCTCAAAATACATCTAAAACTAGAAATCTACGTTTTTAGCAGTAATTCTTCTTCCCCCCCACTTCCAAGTCCCCAGGTACAAACACCAACGAAACAGCTTTAGTGCGTCTTCTAATATAAATCATCACCTAATGGAGCAAATGGATATTTTATGTCTGGTTATTGCCTAGTTAAGTACAGAGCACATTTGACTGGATTGCTTAATACAAAATAAAGACAACTGGTTTCTGTGCTGTAAAAAGGAAAACAAAAACAAAAACCCAAAACTAATGGGAACTAAAATTGTTGTTAGTAGTAATACTAACATGCCTTCCAAATCAAAGTAGACATTAGAACTGTCACCCGTGGCCATCAACTGTAATTGAAAACATTTATATGTGTGTATTTTGGGTAATTGGAAGAGGGACTATCTTGACTTGGGTTAAAGAAGACACATAACCGATGCCTTTTCCCCTCTTTATCAGTTTTTTTGTCTCTAATAGTAACTGGTTATTTGGCAAGAACAGCTGTACATGTGGAAAAGAAAATGAAAGTAATTTGAAGAGATTTTCATCTTCCCTTAAGCATTTCCGCTAAGGTGGTTTAAACTGCTTATCGCTAGCTCACCTTCTCCAACATAGTTTTAAATAAAATAAAAGCTGATCTCAAATGGTAGAAGAAGAAAAAGAAACCATGGTGGTTTATAGCAGTCTGATGCCTGGCTTTGGGCGGCAGCAGAAGTCCACCTTTTTGCCACCTGAGTTGTTTATCCTTGACTGTGAGAGTACATTTTCTATTGCTTGCATCCCAGATGTTTCAGTCCTGTCTTTGACACATATCCCAGGGGGACTGGCATTCCCAGTCTGTGCTTGCTGTCACCTTTGCCCACAGCTGGCCTCTTCCTCTCCGGCACTCCTCCTGAAGGGCCCAACCCACACATCCACTATCCTCTCTAATGCAATATCACCATTGAGCCCCCGTGATTGTACACATGACCTATTTCCATATTAGAATTAGGTTCTATAACAACAGCCTTGCGTGTGGGTTTTATTTTAAGAACATTCATAAATATAGACTCATTGGAACCACTTCTCAGAATCCTTTGCTTCTGCAGATGGATATGATGAAAAAGAAAAAAATTCTGGATAGGAAAGCATGAATTCTGACCATGGCATTTCTGGGACTCAGTTTCCCCATCTGTTGAAAAAGCAAATATCGACAGCATAGAAGGAGTGTAAAGATTGGATGAGGTAATATTCTAACCTGCCTAGGGAATAGTACCTGACACCTCTCTGTGAAGGTGGGTTCACTTATCTTACTTTCTTCATTCTTAATTCCCCATTCGAGGTGGGGGTGGGATGTCAACAAGCAAAAACTAGTCCTTTCTTGCCCAAGGCTAAAAACCTTCAACAGTGCCCTCTTCCAGTCTTCCTACTCTTTTTGGTACAGGCCTGCATCAACTGTCCTCCATTCATCTTCAGTTCCTTGTGCCTGCAAAACATGCATATGTCTCATCCTATCAAATAAGGGGGGAAAAAAAAGTTGGGAAGAGCCCCTTGTTAACTCTGCTTTACCAAAAACTATCATCCTTTACTTCACCAATGAATTTAGCCAATAAGCTTTTCTGAAAGTGTCATTAGTTCTACTTCCTCATCACCCCTGACCCCTTAGTGGTCCATAAGTGCTTATCCCATCCCACAACTCTCCAAACTCCTCTATTCCATATTACCCTTAATTAAAAGTCAGTCCTGGGGGCTGGCCAGGTGGCGCACTGGAGAGTGTGCCGCTTGGGAGCGTGGCAGCGCTCCTGCCGGGGGTTCGGATCCCATGTGGTGACCGGTTCCCGCTCACTGGCTGAGCGCGGCGCGGGCACAACACCGAGTGTTGCGATCCCGTTGCCAGTCCCCGGTACGGGCGCGACACCAAGGGTTGCGATCCCGTTACCGGTCAGTAAAAAATAAAATAAATAAATAAATAAATAAAATAAAAGTCAGTCCTGAAATCTACATTTAACAAATAAGTATTTGAATATTCCTGAGTTGCAGAATCATCCAATAATAATATAATGCAACCCACATATGTGATTTTAGACTTTCTAGTAGCCACATTAAGAAAGTTAAAAAGAAATATTAAAAAAGTAAAGTCACATAAAAAAGCGAAAAGCAATAATATAGTTTATTTAGCCCAACATGTCTTAAAACACTTGTATTATTTCAACAGGTAGTTCATACTAACATTCTTAATGAGATGTTTTCATTATTTTTTATACTAAGTCTATGAAATCTGCTGTGTATTTTACACTTAGAGCACATCCCCGTTTGGACTAGTCACATTCCAAGTACTCATAGCCATGTGCGGTTAGTGACTACCATACTGAGCAGTGCAGGTCTACACCATTCGACAGAGTTTTCCTGGCATCCTTCTTTAACTTTCAGGGCAGCTCTTGATTTTTATCAAACATTCCTGATTGCTCCTCCTTCACACCTTTGATGACTTCCCTTTCTATCTCTTATCACCCTTTGATGGGTTTCTGACCACCCCACCCCCTTCAATAAAAAGATCTGCCTCACTCCTTCCCTGCCTTGGTTCTACTTCCTCTGGGCACTGAGTATCTAGAATGTCACGTCAAACTCATGGGATGACTGTGAACACATTGCTTAGGTCAAGCTGAAAGGTAGGAACTAGGAAGAGAGAGGAAAAATGTTCTCGTTTTCTCCTTTAATCCATCATTGCCCAGAACTGATTTCCAGTGCATACTTTGAGTGCTTTTTGTTCTTCCTTTTTCTCCACATCCCCTCAACCCATGGCTTGTGTTTTCATACCTTTGCAGAAACCACATTCTGCAGAAATGTCCTGAGGCATCATTTACTGTACATGACACTCAAGCTTTTGAACAGCAGCTGATAATAATTTAAAAGCTTATAAAAAGTGAGCTTGGGATATCTCTGCAGCTGTCTGCAGTAGCTCCTTGCAGGACACGATGACTGATTTACTGGGTGACAGAATATTATCATTGACATGCTCTTATTTCAGCAACAGAAGGACTCTGAGAGCCTATTTTGTGTGTATCCCACAGCAAACATGGTAAATCTGATCTGAGAGTCTGCTCATGTGAGTGAATGCCTCATAATGAGATGTAACTCCCTCACTGTGATCTACTTACTTCTGAGTTTTATGCCAACTTTTTATGTTTCTTTCCCGGATGCATCTGGTAGTAAAATTGTGTAGACCTAGAGAATCAGCATGCTTCAACAGACAAGACATGTGAACAGGATATACTGAATATCACCATAGATCCTAACCACATTCTCTTATAGGGAATCATATTGCCATACAGGAATAGTATCATTTGGGGACTGAGAAAGTATTTGCCAAGTCTAGGGGATGAGGTCAGTAGATACCATTTAAAAATCAAAACCACTTGCTTTTTCCTAGCTTTCATCGCTACAGGCATGTGTTAGATGACAAGTCTTTGACTCACTAAGTTTAATTGAATTGTCTGATGGTTCAGTCTTCTCACCTGTTTTTAGAGATTAGGGAACACCTGCTTGTACCCATTCTTTATCCACTCAGATTCTGCATTAGCCGGCCCTGTTAAAGCGTTCTTGAGATTTCTGGGTCCCTCCCACTTTAGCTAGCTTTCTAACTAGCTTTCTCCTTGGTCACCTGCTTCACGCATTTCTCCGTGTTACAGGATTTCAGAAAAATCCTGAGGCTGTTGCATGTAGACAACTTAGGCTACAACATAGTATCAAGCTGGAATGTGGCCACCGTTTCGAATGGGCTGCCATTATTCATTTTTCAGGTTTGAAGTCATGCCCCCTGATGACGGGGCTGTAAGACTTTAGGTTGCCCAAGTGTAGTGAAAAGAGCATGGACTCTGGAATCCTGTAGACTTGGGGACAAATCCTGTCTCTGCCACTTTCTATGTGGTTCTGGATAGGCTGCTTAACCTCTCCAAAACTCATTTACCTCATCTGCACAATGATGATATCATCCCTGTTACAGGGTTGTCATGAGAAATAAAGATGATGCCCAAAAAGCAACTAGCAAACCGTCTAGCCTGTAGTAGTCACTTAAGAATCAGTAGCTATGATGAGATCATGAGGATAAGGCTATACAGGATTTGAGAGTAAAAATCCAAGTCTCTTTCCTTTAATTGGGTTATGGAATCTTCATCCAGGGGTCTCATGTCTATGTTATAGGTCACATGTCAAGTTATGGCATCATTTAAAAATGTATGACTTCCTTCAAGTTTTTTGCTACTTGTTTTAACACTGTGTATGGCATGTATTGTACACACAAATAGAGTCATGGCCTTAGCCACTTATAATGTCAATGAAATTTTAATAACTTCTCCATTTATTTTCTGAATATAGATTTCCAGCAATTGCAGCAAACTAAATATTGTTGCATTTTTTATAGTAGAAAATATAATTCTACATATGCTGTTTAATATCTTTATATGAGTCTATGTAACTAAACTGAGATTCATATTTGTATCCAGAAAAGAAGACATATTTTAATAGAATGGCATGATTTATGGACTGCATGGGAATCCGTTTTGGTTCTTCCTTGTTAGGAGGTTTTGAATTACTTTCTTTACGCTATGTAATTTACTTAACCCATAAGTCATTTTTATGCTTTTCTGAGATTTCTTTGTTTTTTGTTTTTTGTTTTTTCCTCTTAAGCATGTAGAGGTCAAAATGAAAAAAAATAAAAATCCAATCATATTTATTTAATACATGAGATTAGTTTTTATAAAGAGAATTTAAAGTAACAAGTTTTGAGAGGTTGAGGAATTATTTCTGAATTTCTATTTACTCTACTACTTCCAATCATTTGAATTTTGATATTTCTTTGTTGTTTCTTACCTAGGTTACTCATTGGTTTCAGAAAACCATAAAAGATTTACAGGAACAAAGTCTAGGTTCATCACTTTCAGACAATGAGGAGCTAATTCGTAAGCATGAGGAACTGATAATAAAAGCAAAGGTAAGAGACATATTAGAAACATTAAAAAATAATAATGTATGTGCTTCTATTGAATATACTTCAATGGGTAATTTAGAGGATAACTGAAAAATTCCATTTGAATAATTCACTATTTACATAGAAAATATCCTGATAGCATTAGCTAATACCATGCCCATTTACTGAGCTTCTAGAATAATGATAAACAAAACAACAGCTTCTACAACAATATATTTTTTGAATGTTATTATGTGCCAGGCACTGTGCTAAGTAAATGAGATGTATTATCTAAATTATCATAAAACCCCTAAGTTTAGGTATTATTTTTCTTATTTTATGGATCAAAACAAATAAACGAAACACAGAGACTTGGAGATGCAACGTAACTTCATCAATGTAATATGTCTTGTCAGTGGCAAAGTGGGAATTCAGTTCTAGGTTTTGTCTAATTCTAGGTCCCAGGCTCTTAAATATTTCAATTTGCTAGTTTTCTAAAGAAACATATTTTCTACACTGAGATCTCAATACACTATGACTTTTATGATTTCCACATATAGTTTGATTGCTGTTCCCATCTACATTTCCCTAGTTGCTTAACTTGCTTCAAATTTCTCAGTTGTTGAGGAAGTAATGGCTGTCAGCTGAACGACCCCTTGTAGGTGTGCAGAGTGCGCAACACAAAACCGTGAAGCTCTGCAAGCAGGAGGAGCAGAGCGGCCGCGTTGCAGCTGCTCCTCTCTCCACTGTCTTGTTATGTGGAAATTGACTCATCTGTAAATGTGGGTCTACAAATACTTTCCAAAATTCTCTACAGGTGCTCCATATTGATCTACAAGAAAACAAAAGTCCATCATAGTAGAGTGAGTGGGAACAGTGAATACTTCAATCACCGTCAAGATTTAGAGAACTTTGTATTGTTAATATCTCGGATGGTTAATAGTTGTAGATAGAGCTAAGTCATGAAGCTCTGGGAAACAATGGGCCAACACTACTAGACAGTGGCTGAAAATAGAGAAGACAAATCAAATATTCACATGTCTGGGAGGATGGGAGTTGGCGAGGTGGTGGGAAGCGGTAGATTGAATTGTTTAGGTTCAAATTTTGTCAAAGGAGACACGACAATTTTCATTTTGTTTGTTTTAGTTTCTTGCTTCTATCTGCAGTGAATTATAGGTATTCAAAGTATTTGGTTTGAATATTTGACCAATTGATTAAAGGCGCAGTTACAGAAGACTGTTGACTCGGTAATGACTAGCCATTTTTAAATTCTTTAAAATATTTCAACATTTGGTTTATCTGTTTAGAAAGTTAGTTTTTTTCATTGAAGTCATACAGCAATTTATTCTGTGTGTATCAAACTCAAGTTTTATCAATGGAAATTATCAAAATCCCAAAATGCTAAGCATAAGAAATGACTCAAATTGCATAGGATAGATGCTTGCTTTAAAACAAACAAGAACAATATATTCACATAATTTAGACATACCTTGGGGTTATATCCACTGCAAATGTGGAGTTATTATGGTTGCTAACATGCCGTGAGGACAAGCTGGAGTAGAATATCTGTTAATACATGACCTCGGTTCTAGCAGAGCAAGTTTATGTCATAATTTATAGATCACATGTGAACTTATGATATGCATAAACAGAAAAGCATATAGATATTCTTTCCACCATTATCCTTAAGTTGCAGACATAAAGTATGTAAGAAATATTTTTTTTAAAAAAGACTTGATTTTTTTGGAGTAATTTTAGATTTACATCAAAGCTGAAAGGAAGGTACAGAGATTTCCCATTTACCTCCAGCTCTCCACAAATGCATACTTTTCCTTTTTATCAACACTCCTCACCAGGGTGGGACATTTGTTACAATTAGTAAACCTAAATTGACATATCATTGTCACCCAAAGTTCTTTGTGTACGTTAGGGTTAATTCTTGGTCTTGTACATTCTATGGGTTTGGACAAATGTACAGTGACATATATCTACCATTACAATATCATACAGTCTATTTTCACTGCTCTAAAAATCTTCTGTGCTCCATCTGTTCATTGCTCCCTCCCCCCTGGACCCTGGCAATCACTGATCTTTTTTTTTCTATTAACATTTTTTCAAATTTTTGATTATATGTATTTATGGGGTACAGAGATGACTAGATATTTGTGTACATTATGTGATGAACCACTGATCGTTTTACTGTCTCCATAGCTTTGCCTTTTCCAGAATGTCATATAGTTAGAATCACAGAGTATGTAGCCATTTCAAATTGGCGTCTTTCACTTAGTGACATGCATGTAAGTTTCCTCCTCCTCTTTTCACGCTTGGCAGCTCTTTCCTATTTAGCACTGAATCATATTCCATTGTCTCAATGTACCAGTTTATTCATCTGTACACCTACTGAAAGACATCTTGGTTGCTTCAAAATTTTGGTAATTATGAATCAAGCCATTTGCAGGTTTTTGTGTGGACGTAAGTGTTCAATTCATCTGGGTAAATACCAAGAAGCACAATTGCTGGATCTTATAGTAAGAGTACAGTTAGTTTTGTTGGAAACACAAACTGTCTTCCAAAATGGCTGTACCATTTTCCATTCCCACCAGCAATGAATGAGATTTCCTGTTGTTCCACATCCTTGTCAGCATTTGGTATTGCCAGGGTTCTAGATTTTGGCCATTATAATAGGTGTGTAGTGGTATGTCGTCATTGTTCTAATTTGCATTTCCTTGATGACTCTGGTGTGGAGTATCTTTTCTACACATATTTGTCTGTATATCTTCTTTGGTGATGTTTCTGTTAAGGTCTTTGGTTCATTTTTTAATCAGGTGGTTTGTTTTCTTATTGTTGAATAGAAATACATTTTTAATAATATATATTTTATTATATAAAGTCATCGTGGAAAATTTCAAAACTATAAGTTAATCCTTCAACCTAAAGACAACCATTATTAATATTTTTGCACGTTTCCTTTCTTTCCACACACAACCCTAGAAACACAGCATTAGAACCATGCTTTTTTTCTCATTTAAAAGTTTATCACAAATATTTTCCTATGTAACCTAACATCCTTTACCTAAAAATTACTCCGTTATATGGACAAAATACAAATTTCAGGATTATACATTTTATTATGCAAAGTATTTAAGCCATGTGAATATCCAAGCAAATATTGTAAAAAATAAAGGGTACTAATTCCTGATAAACCTCATCATGCTCCAGACAAGTCTATCTGCTTACCTTAGGGTTCTGAACTACTCTGGATCTTGTGCAAAAGCTGAGTATTGCCCCATGTACTCAAGTAGTTTTCAAGCAGAACTTTTTGGAAACTAAACAGAGAAACCTACTTCTCTACAAGATCCTTGGGAATAAATTTATTTTCTAAAAAATGTATTAGCTTGATTTACTGGGAGTTTCTGTTTTATTTCTTTCTGTAAAGTACTCTTTCTGATGTAAGATTTTCTTCCCAAATTATGGGTTGGTCTGTGGAACACCCAATCTCAATAAGATCTTTAAAGATTACCAAAATTTTGAATAACTATTTAGATTGGATCAACCAGATGCAGGTGAATATTCAAATATAAATTGTTGTTAAAAGGTTTTCAAGATATTTTCCATCCATTTGGGACACTGGCTAATCCAATGACAAGATAACTGGTTATTCAAGGCAGCTGGGGTCTCTGAATCATATGGCTGAGAGAGATCCCATTAAATGTAAAAGAGGGAGTGGCACTTTGTTCTGGAGTGATTCAGAACAGCTTTCTGGAAGGATGGGGTTTGAGCAGATGTATGGTTATATGAGTGGTTGGTTAGGTGGGTATGACTTTTCCAGAATAAGGCAGAATAAGGCAAACAGGGATCAGACCAGTTTGTCTACAACAAGAGTTAAAGGTCCTGGTAACATTTATCCCAGAGAAGAGAGACTTGGCGGAGTTGTCTCAGAGGCAATAGCCTATCCACACCCATTTCATAGAAGAGAAATGATAACAATCTATGATCATTACAGAAAAGCAAACTTCCACAGGTTGGGAAATAGAAGAGATTCCTGTGGCAGTGAGAGGTGGGCCTGCGTGACCTCAAAATTGTTTTTAACTTTCAGATCCTATAAAGGAAATAGGATTTATTTTCCATTGTCAGTTGTGCTTGTTGCATTTAAAGCAACATGTGTGTAAAGCAACCTTCCAGAGCTGGCCTAAAGGAGTGGGGCTGGGCTGGGGTAATAGCAACATTTCTTGAAAGTAGAGACTATCTTATCTTACCCTGGCAGGAAAAAGGGTGTTTTTTTTTTTTTGTCCTTTTTGTGACCAGCCACATGGCGCTCAGCCAGTGAGTGCACCGGCCATCCCTATATAGGATCCGAACCCGTGGCAGGAGCGCTGCTGCACTCCCAGTGCCGCACGTTCCCGGGTGCGCCACAGGCTCGGCCCGGAAAAAGGGTGTTTTTTTTTTTTTGTCCTTTTTGTGACCAGCCACATGGCGCTCAGCCAGTGAGTGCACCGGCCATCCCTATATAGGATCCGAACCCGTGGCAGGAGCGCTGCTGCACTCCCAGTGCCGCACGTTCCCGGGTGCGCCACAGGCTCGGCCCGGAAAAAGGGTGTTTGATTGTCTGTTTATTAAGTCCTCTTCACTGTGGAGAAGGAAAAAGCATTCTCTAGTTTCTTTTTGTGATTTTTCTGGTGACTTTAATTAATTAGTTTATTTATTTATTCATCTATTCATTTATTCACTCAATTTTTAATTTGCACATTGTACATTTATGGGGACAGAGTTATATTTCAATACATGTATACGTGATGATCAAATCAGGGTAATTAGCATATTCATCATCATAAAAATTAATCATTTCTTTGTGATGAGAGCATTTGAGTGCCTCTCTTCTAGCCATTTGAGAAAAGACAATAAATGATGGTTAATTATAGATTATAGATGCCCAGCACTACTGTAGACCACTTGAACTTATTTCTCCTATCTAGCTGTGATTCTCTGGTGACTTTAGATAGTCACTTAGCTTCCTCTCTCTATCC